TGAAAAAAGTAGGTAAATTAAGAACATAAACTGATAACAACAAATCGGGGTTTAGATTCCGTAGCTGTGATGCACGGAACTCTATATTGGTTCCTATATATGCCGAACAGTGCAAAAAAATTATATACTTTTCTCGATTGCGTTTTCGTCGGACTTGTAAGCATGTGTTGTTGTAAGATGGCGTCTCTCTGTGAAGGATGTTCCTTGGCGGATTAACGTGTAATTTGACCGACTATTGAGAAAGTAGCCGCAGCTGTTGACATCTTCAGAGTTCATAGTGTTCTCCCTTCTTCAGTCAAGTGTCATGAAGATCGACACACTTGGTATTGCAGTAAGAGACAGACACTTTATGCCACCTACTATATTGTTAGTAATTGTGGTGGGTCGCATCTCATATTAACTACTCATTTACGACGGAAATAAAGGTCAAATTCTTATGAAACAATGAAATACACTGTAAAAGCATATTAATCCATAGTAATTTCCGTGCATGACAACTTCGGAATATTTACCCAAATCGGAAATCTTATCAACATAGCTAACAATGAAATCCAGGAGACGAAACAGTGAACGGTAGTCTCAGATAACTCAATACACAAACCAGACAATAATCTTTTCATTACCAAGAGAATTTGTAATAGTCGTCACTGCTTGTTTCACGTTATAGCTCCTGTCAGTCTGGTTTATATATTGTTGGATTTATTTTACCATCAAATTGTGGGTCCAGTCGTGAAGGTCTGAACACGGGGTATCCCTCGTAAGTGAAGGAGTAACAATATACTTCATTGGTTAAATTAAGCTAAAAAAAAATAAACAAAAATATTAAAACTATCATGAGAGAATGGGTCAGTCAGAGTCAGTCAACGAACGAGTCACCCCGCCAATAAGTCACCCCGCCAGCAAGTCACCCCACTAATAAGTCACCCCGCCAGCAAGTCGCTCTGTGTACCCGTGTAGCTTGGCGTGACAACCACAGAGTTATTCAGTAATTGTCCTAAATTGATATGTTTATGGTTCCTGACACCTTGAGGGCCACTATTTACCAAGACTTTAAAAAGGTCAAAGGTGAAACACATTGTTGTAGTATTATTGTTGTAGTGAACATGAATTAGTGCTTTAGTGAACATGTAATACTGGAATCATCATGTTTATCCAACTAATAAGAATCATGGAACTATCCACTATGCATCAACGAGCTATCGAACGAACATTCAAACTGCCATCCAATACGAGAACACAAAACCGACAAACAGAGATGTAGAACTACGATGTCAACAAAACCATAAAAAATAACTTCAGGGGGCAATATATCTCCTCTGAATTACCGATCTATCACAAATGTGTAAGGAATTAAGTCAGCAAATCTGGTAGAATGGCAAGATAATTTCCTGGATGGAACAGTCTCCCTCCTGGTTATCGGGGAAGACATTTGTTAACTTAAGATATCGTGGCATTGACAGTTAGGATCAGTGTGTGTGTGTATTTGGCTGTGTGCGCGTGTGTGTGTCTGTCTGTCTGTGTGGGTGTATGAATGAAAAAAAATATTCTTAACACACATTACAAATTAATACCACAAGCAAGTATCCAATAAATACACAACAGCTGAGACAAGTTCCAAATCATTCCACTAAATCTTGTAAGAGTTGATCACGTAACAGAATTTATACACCTGTGAAAAATACAACAGGGGATACGAAAAACTCATGATATATAATTTTCGAAAAACCATCTAATAAATCCATTACAACTCAGGAAAAGATCCATTACATATATAACAACTGTAGTTAACCTCAACTAAATTTGCTAAAACCTCTCAAGGAAACGGTAACCTAAACTGTATGCTTGATATATGGAACCCGAGGATACAGGTCTCTGGTGGATGGTTCAGTACTGGTAATCAAAGAACACTCTCTAGTTGCCAGTACAAGTGTTCCTCTAAATGATAAATCAACACAACAAAGCATCCAAATCCCTGTGAACCAGTAATCTTAGCGCAGAACACCCAGAAATGTTTTATTCGCAGTTGACCTGTTAATCTAACATCAAAGGAAGCTGCCATCATGAGTTACTGAGTCTGGAGATGAAGCAACTCATATAAGATCAACAGGAAGCAGCGACAATGTAGACACTGGGATGTGTGAAGTCAGTGATCAGTCGGACCTAATGGTGGAGGCGAGGGTCGATCACATGTCGTCACTAAATGACTACACTCCATCTCTGACTTTTTTTAGCTGAGGAAGATTTTAAGCCCAATCCATTAATAACAAAAATAAGTTACCCGCCTTGACAATAATACTATCATTAAATTTAAAGGCTGAGAAACGTCAAAATTTCAGCTATTGGGGTCATCAAATATCTCCATCTCGACCCCTTTAGTGTAAATAGCTTAAACAGGAATCTCTACCGTCGTCTTCTGTAACTTAATGCTTTCAGACTTTACCGTAATATCAGTATAATGAAATGTACCATATTAAATTAGCTTTTTATTCCTTTACTGTATTTTAGTAAGATGTTTACACTGTACACACAACATAACAGCGCCATCAACTATCACGAGAAACAAGACGACTTTCCGGGTTTTTGTTCATCTTGTAGTAGATTCTAATATTTCATGCAGATTTAATAGAACCAGGCAAAAAAAAAAGTAAACATTCTTAGTTCCAGTAAATTTGGGCAGGTAGTTTCTGAGTGGAAGTAATGGAAAAAATAAAGTTATGGGGGTGAACAACGGCTGCTTGCCCAGGATACCCCCCCCATATACTTGAATCATAAACAGCGTCAACACAATAGTTCCTGGTGCTGTCTTGCTCTCTAATCCATAACAACACACTTCGTCCGCCGTTTACTTGCAGCAGCGATCTTTTAGGATATGAGCTAAAATTACAACTGATGTGACATTAAGCGAGGTGTTTCATTATAATTATCACCCAAGGCTAGAAAACTGAGCACCGCTTATCACTGTTCATTCTCTCCTCAACTCAAGTTTGTTTGTTTTTTTTATTGAAAGTCATTTAACGTTATTAATTTTCCATAATCCCTGTCGTTGGATGTAATTAATCACAAGCTTTTTATGGCGTAAAAATGTGAATATTTTACAACATCGCTGAAGTGTGGGCGACAGTACACTATTTTTACTGGATGAAACAGACAGCTGACGTGTGCTCTACAGTTCTGCCATTTGTTATTGTAGGAGTATCACTGGCACCTTGTTTTTGCTTATTCATCTTACTTATGCAAAGGGCACTATAATATTTCCCTTTACACTGAGAACACCCTTTTTCCTTAGGGTTCTTTAACCTTTTGTCCCATGTTACAGGATGTTGAAAGGTAACCTGTACGTAGTTTCAAAGTCTTAGTCCTATTAACCTTGGATAAACTAGTTTTATATTTATACCAAGAATGGTTAGGATGCTGAGAGAGTGTACATACAAATCCATTCTTAGCCACTACTCCAGTACTATTCACTACAAATGAATCAGGTGCTACTCTATTGTGGCCGTACCTGTGATTTGTTGTGAATCATCTAAATTAAATACTTCTTTTGGTAAATCTGGATAAACAAATCTAGATTAAGTACATCACCAATATCTCCTTCAATAATTTCCTGAAGGGGAGATGGTAATTTACTACTGTATAAAACCTTTAAATCCAGTTGGAGTGAGAGCAAAGATTCAATAAAAAATTCAAATGAAGCACAAAATTGCTTTAATTCATCCGTGGAGGCAGAAAAGCTCGGTAAATTTAAAATCTTCAAAACATAAGCTGCCTTTACCCTGTTATCATTGTCGTGTATCTGTTGTAATAAACTCACAGAAGAATCATTGCCAGTAGCGTCTAGAGAATACCCATCATTTGTTTTTGCTTCACCTTCAAGATGAACTTTTTTTATGTTAATTTCTGAATGTTAAATCCTGGGTGTCATAATGTAGTGCATCTGTATAAATCCCAAAATTCTAACCATTTAGTACAATCAGCATCGAGAGTGAGAAGTGTAAGAGTAGGTTATCTTACTGTTACCTTAGACTTAACTGGGGTTTGGGCATTCCTAACCGGTGTATTTACTGTATCGGGAAACTTAGTAAGAATGGTATTTACTTCGCATATATACAGAGTACATAGGATTTGCTGCCTTCTTCTCTAAAGCCTCATCGTTTGTTATATCATTCACTCACCGTTGTATTCTTTTTTTTTTTTTAATAATTTACAGACTAACACGTTTTACCTTCAATGTGTGCAGGAGTGACACTATCAAGAAAGTTTATAATATCCTTAATTAACTTACTAACAACACCCTTTATCTCCCTATTAAATTCCTCAATACTTCTCATATCTGACATCGTGACGAAAAACAACTTAACTGTAATTTATTCATCAATGTACAATAGAAGTTAAGAGAAACAACCTGTAGAGAACTAACGCCATAATAAGTGTCCTGGTTACCCAAAAAAAATCATACGAATATACAAATTTATTACTGATGAAGGGATAGTTGTCCAAGTCCTTAAAATATACTATTGCCACGCGGATTATACTATTTCAGACACTTTACTTTTACTACGAACCCTCCCTCCAGGCACGTCAAAGAACTTCAGAAAATAGTTCGAGCAAATAGCAGGGCAAGGAATATAAACCCGGCTTGTATATAGGCCGAATAAAATAACCTGTTCAGTATTACCCCCACCTGTTCAGTATTGTCCCCACCTGTTCAGTATTACCCCCACCTGTTCAGTATTGTCCCCACCTGTTCAGTATTACCCCCACCTCGGCTCGGGGACGACTACAGGGCCATCCAGTACAAGAATTAACCCTCTTGTGCATATTATTTTAAATGATTTATACAATGGCGAGAAATCCTCAGTCTACCCCTACGCTTTACGACACACAACTGACAAATGAATTTCAGCAGTTTTGTTCGACATGGTAAAAAAAAAAAAGAAATATTTTGTAGATTCGATTGGAAGGACGCAGCCCTGAAGCCCTCCATTTTTTTATATTTCCAGGAAGAAGCAATGTCAGCCACAGTGATCCATCAAAAACTGGAGCTTCAGCCTGCAGCAGATATTCCTCGGTTACCTTACACAGAGGAAATACTGTACAAGGTTATCGAAAAAGAATGTCCAAAAATTAATATAAAAACATTTAAAATTTGGTGGTCTTTTTCGATGGTCTTTATATATCATAATTTTCTCAATACTCAGTGATTACGAGCTGTGTTCCAGACCAGTGTATAATATTCATCTTTCAGTTAAAATAAAATTCTCTAACATTTACTATTACGCCCACAGTTGTTCCTCAGGATAACGCAAATTACACAAGAGTTGTTCACTGAAGTGTTCATTGATAGAGGGAGTTGCCCGCCTAATGTATGAGTGAAGACGTGTTTGTTTTTCATCAAGATTCAGTTCTGCTGCGAATTTGCTTAAATGCATCTGGTTGTTTGGGTCCGCTGAGCCTCTCAGCCTGGCAAGTTTAAGCAGAATATGAGAATCCTGAGGTGAAGGTTTGATAAGTGTTTACCTTTCAAACGTAAACAAACACCAGCATGGCGTCAGTCAGAGTAGGTACAGAGAATGTATCTTTTATGCCAATCCTAAGGTAAAAGTTAAATGATTTAGTGTTAACGCCTCTGATTAAGTGTGTTTAGAGAAATACGATCGGTCACGGATTATTTTCTCTGAACTCTGGGAAAATACTTTCTTCTTCCCCTCTCCTACCCATTATTTTGTCTCATTAACGTTTACCAGGTGGAGATATTTTAGTTTAATTTAGACAATCAAACACTTACCATGAAGGAGAGGTATATGTTCCGGGCCCTTATACGCTCGTGGGCCCCATATGAGTGTGTCCAACTCACAATGAAGTTGAACTGTTCTCATTTTCCCACAATCATCAATCATGAAGAGAGAGGGATGTGTGGGGGAAGGTACTGAACCGGTTTGTATATCATGAAAAATTACCCTCTTTTATACGCAGTTCACATATAACATAGGAATATATACCTCAATTTCCTTCCGTTGTAAGTTAGAAGGACTCATAACTTACTCTACAGCACAGAGTAGGCGACTAATGACCTCAAAACAGTGCATTGAGACTACCACAACACCATACGTTCTCTAACTCACAGTCAGGGGGAAAGGAACGGCAGTTAGGAGCCTTTGAAAACCTTGACTCCAATTTTCTTCATTATAGTTGGTTTCTTAAGTTAGTCTCCACGAGAATATTTAATTTGTTGGTCTATTTTAGATAATACTGTATACCTTTAAAGAGAAAATATAAGAGACAGACAGACAGACAAGCACACCGTCAGGTAAACAGAAGAACAGACAGACACAAAGGCACAGACAGACAGACAAACAGAAACACAGACAAAAGAACAAAAATAAAGAGTAAGGATATTTAGATAGACAAGGAAATAGACACAAGATAAACGAAAATAGAGAAAATGTGATAAAAACAGAGACACGCAGAACTTCTACTTAACACACACACACACACTCACACACACACACACACACACACACACACACACACACACACACACACACACACACACACACTAAAATCGAAACTTCAATGCATTGTTCATATTTCCTATTTCAATACTGACTGACGATTTTCATTTCTGGTATTGTATTTCAAAATTACAAAAATGTGTATATATTGTTTTGTATCTACAATATTTACCAGAAATTTACATAAAAATAATATGCCTCAGTGACGGCAATTTTCATCATGTTCAGAGAGTTGTGACATAGTGAACTTTGAAACTGTTCATTGTCAATATTAATTAACAAACATTACGGCACCTCGTTGTTGTATGGAGCGGGTATAGTTTCAAGTACTCTTTACACTCATAAACTTATACCAGTCTCACCGGACAATTCAGTAGCTGCACTGGATATACCTGTACGTTACCCCAGTACAAGATCCGGTAATTCGATAAAAATTCATGTTCACCATCACTGTTGAGGAGATTTCTAGAAGCAAATGACCCAAAGATTCACCCTGCCCTGGGGTCGAACGGGGCTACTAGCATGTAAAGTGAGTTATCTGACCACTACGCCAAGGGGTAGATATTAAACATAAGTACTCTCAAATGATGACGACGATGATAATAATAATGATGATGATGATGATGATGTATCACTCGCCAAGGTCATAAGGTGAAGTATAAAAAAAAATATAAAAAATGGTTTACGTCAAAATAATAATAAAAACATCCATTGACTCTGGTAAAAAAAATATATATATATAAAATATATTTTTATAAGTTAACGTAAAAATATTTTCAACCAACGAATCTGAACAAAAATGAAATTCGTGTCGGAAATCGAGTAACAGTAAAAAAAATAAAGAACTATGTAACCGTGGTTTATAATTGCCACCATTGTTTATAATTACAAGGTCGCCGTGTCAGCTGGCGTCACTGGTCTTGTCCCACAGGATTAAATACCAGAAAGAAACATTGGAAAAACGCGAGTGTGAGCTACCTTGACTGACATCCTTGACACACACACACACACACCCACCCCCCACACACACACCCCACACACACACACCCCACACACAAACACATACACACAAAACTCGTAATCAATCAGTATGTTCACTCCCAACCAATCATACTTTTCCTCTGTTAGTGTGTTGAAATTACCTATTGTATGTCCCCACCTTGTTATTATATATCATATTTGTATCACTTATGATTATTATTATCATTATCATAGTTACATTAACACACACAATCACAATCAAAATCACACATACATTCATAATCACACACATACAATCACATGCATACATTCACAATCGCACAATCAAAAGCACACACACACACACATAATAACCACACAAGTACAATCATAATCACACACATACAATCAAAATCGCACACATACAATCACACACACATACAATGAATCACAATCACACAATAATAAATAATCACACACAATCACATAGTCAATCAAACATGCACACTCACAATCACATACGCACAATCACGCACATGCAGTCACAATCACACACACACACCAATCATAAATACATAAGGAGGTAGATTAATTTACATAACAAAAATAAGATAACAGATACAGGCAGCATCAGTTTCAAGCAGTGATGATAACAAGTCAGAAGTTTTACATAAGAAGAACATAAGAAAGTAAGGAGTCTGCAATAGGCCGGTTGGCCTGTGCATGGCAGCTCCTGTCGAGAGTTACTACCACTCTATCATCCATGAATCTATCCAGCCTCTTTTTAACTTTCCAGAGTTCCAGCACTTACTACAAAGTTGCTAAGCTTGTTCCACTCGTCCACCACCCTATTTGTGAACCAGTTCCTTCCTATCTCCCACCTAAACCTAAACTTATCCAACTGAAATCCGTTGCTCCGAGTCCTATCCTGCTCGGATATTATAAGAACTTTATCTATAACCCCTTTATTGATTCCTTTCACCCACTTAAATACTTCTATCATATCTCCCCGCACTCTTCGTCTTTCTAGGGAATGCAAGTTTAGTTTCTTTAACCTATCCTGATATGGAAGGTTTCGAAGTCCCGGAATCATTTTCGTCATTCTTTGTTGCACCGACTCTAGTGAACTTATATCCATTCTATAATAAGGGCACCAGAACTGAACCGCATTATCGAGGTGCGGCCTGACTAGCGCAAGATATAGTTGCAATAAGACCTCTGCACTCTTATTACTTACACTTCTAGATATAAAACCCAATACTCTGTTTGCCTTATTTCAAACATTAACGCACTGTTTTCTAGGCCGTAGGTCCGGGCTTACAAGTACCCCTAGTTCTCTTTCACAAGTCGACTTCTCTAGGTTGATGTTAAGGCTGTATACATTGACAGTACTGTATGTATGTATGAATGTATTGGATACCAAATCAAAGCAGCAATTGTTACGAACGTTTCCACTTCTCCATGATAAACAGCTGGTTGACGAAAAACGAATATTTTAGCTACAGAGAGGTGAAGGTCGGAAGTGAAATGTCAAGGTAAAGCGTCGCTCAACAGGCCAATGAACACATGCTGTAGAGTGGAGTATCGCCGTACAGGAATCCATAAAAGTGTTCCCTTTAAAAATCTGTGGGCTAAGAACCTTAATTCTTTAGACACATGCTCACACGCCCACGCCCCCTGTCTCTCACACAAACAAGCACACAAACGCACACACATTACAATGGTTCACCTTGATAGCGGTCATACACATCTTCACACAGTCGGTGGTACCAGCTATACACCTGTTCATTGTGTACACATTACAAGAGCTTCGTGGACCGTATTGTGCGCAAAACAATTAAAAAATGTCGATCAATAGCCTAACGCCAGAACCACTTCCTGAAAATATAACACGTTCTTACACCTGCAGCTTCTAATCATCGTGTGCACCTTCAAGAAGCTGGCCTCGTGTCACAGCCCACGTCCAGAATTCGTTTCAAATAGCACGTTCGGGGCTTCGTGTCACATCCCACGTCTCACCAACAAGACCGACCTATTCCCTCTACACCACCACTGTTCCCACGCTCCCTCCCTCACCGAAACAATCACACAGTTCCACAAGTGGTTTAGTCTATTTCTTTACGCTATGAATTATTACAATACCATACTTAAGAAGGCAACAACTACTGCTTAAATTACTTTATAAAATACTGTATTAACTCCCTCGCTAACCAATATCTTGTTCCACTAATTCAAGTTAAAGGTGACAATTACAGCAAAGAACAACAAGTAGATACCGTACAGCAGTCAATAAGCAAGAACATTTTGAGGTAACCCACAGCGCTGCTTTCACCCACTTGTGTTCCCCTCCTCGTGACCGTCTTGGGCATCTCTCCTCCCATAAGGTTGACGGCTCCACTATACCCAACTCTCCCGTACATCCCTCCCATAACACAAAATATTCTTCCTTAAACTCTTAACCTCCCTCTCACAAGATTAGAGACAACCTTAAGTCTTGGAAAAAGTCACAGATGAGGGTTAGATTAGATCTGGTCTAGTTAGAAAACATTCAAAGGCCTAACCTAACCCAACCTCTCCCGCCCCCCACAAGAGGAAGGCTCCCCCCCCCCTCACCTCAGCTGGCCCCGGGCATACCTTCCGCTAGGCTAGGGTCGTATTCTGCCTGCTTGTTTACCTCATTATATTTCACCCGTTTCCAAACCAAGACGCCAATACCATTTCATCTCTGACAACACTAAACGTTGCCCCTGACACGACACATTTCCATCTAGGACACGCATGAGGGGTCTTAGATCATG